CATAGTGGGGGGAGGTACTGTAGCGGTTAGCGCTACGCTGCGCTATGAACCTGGCGACACGAGTTCGATTCCCGCTCACGGCCAACACCAGTGACGATTATCTGAACCGGTCCCGGGCCTCCCCTAGGTCGACTCAGCCTCAAATGAGTACCTGGTGTGGCGTGTAAACATCGCCACTAGGGAGACAAAGGCGGTCGGGCGTGGTGCTGGCCACCCACCCCCTCGTGCGCCGTTCCGGCCTTCATAGGTGCTCGCTAACAGCACTTGCCCCTACAGTCTGTTAAGGCTACATGGGGGATCTTTGTCTTTTGTATGGACACACCTTGTGATGCTTTAAACTGACAAACTGCTGGGTTTACGTTTCAACAAACTACACACATACAATGCAATAAGCCCCCGGACGAAACATTGCTATTTGTTTTTCTCATCCGTCAAATGTAAAGTAGTTCAATGAACAATTTTTTTATTGTTATATTACTACGCTGAGGGCGGCGCCAAAGCACGCATCTGCGCATGCTCATTAATGCTGACCCGTCGTTGCCCCTAGTAATGCACAGGGGGGGTGGGTTCTCATTCTCATTCGCGTTCAACATGCAACAAAAACACAACGCTGAGGTAAATTCTTCAAAGTGTGATGTCCTCTTCTCCAACCCCCCCTACCCCAATGTATGCAGTTACTACTATAGAGTCAGTAGATGCTACCACTATAGGCCGTAGATACTACTACTGTAGTGTGGGCGTGGGGATGGGGGGGGTGTAGCAGCTGAGCCCCAGCCTGCCAAGGTGCCACCTCGGCTGGCTGGGCAATTTAGTCGAGGGCGGGGGCTCTGCACAGGACTAGGCCTCACCACGGCACTCTGTTAAGTTAGTAGTTAGCACTATAGAGTCGATATATATTATTATAGAGTCAGTATATATGACTATAGAGTAGGTAGATACTACTGTAGAATTGGTAGATACTACTGTAGAGTTTGTAGTTATTGCTACTGTAGAGCGGGGGGCGGGGGGGTGAAGCAGCCCAGCCCCAGCCTACCAAGGTGCCACTTTGGCCGGCTGGACAATCTGGTAGAGGCCGGGGGCTCTGTAGAATAGGTAGATACTACTGTAGAGTTAGTAGATACTACTACAGTCAGTAAATACTACTACAGTCAGTAGATATCACTATAGTTAGTATATACTGCTACAGAGTCAGCAGATACTACTATAGAGTTAGTAGTTACTACTAACTACTATAGTCAGTGGATACTACTATGGAGTCAATAGATACGACTATAGATTCAGTAGATACTACTATAGAGTCAATAGATACTACTATAGAGTCAGTAGGTACTACTGTAGAGCCAGGTAGTACTGTCGAGTTAGATACTACTATAGAGTTACTAGATACTACCTTGTTTGCTGAAGCAGTAACCAGCTGCAGTGTGGTGAACTGTGCGTGCTGTATGGTGGCACTGCTCAAAACACACTCGCACATAAGTGCAAGTGTGTATCAAGATGGCGGCGGCGTGTGTAGCAGCGTGTGAGTTGTTTTTGTGAGTTGTATTGCGTGAGTGTAAACTGTGCATGAGAATGTGTGAAAATGTGAGTGAGAATGAGCTGTGTGTGAGCTGAGTGTGAGTGTGTGTGAGTGAGCCGTGTGAGGGTGAGCCGTGTGAGAGTGGCCGTGATGAGAGGGGCTTCTGCGTTCGTGTGTGTGTGTGATGGTGTGGTGGTGTGCACTCTGTGTGTGTGTGTGATGGTGTGCACTCTGTATGTGTGTGATAGTGTGGGGGCCCACCGACTCCCCTGTTCCATTCATACCACTACCCCCCGGCTGCTCTGTCAGGTCCAGACTACCGACCCCTAATGTCTCGCCCCCTGTACCTCTGCCTGGGATGTGGACCTCGTTTGCATAGCTTACTTAGCGGCTCGTACGCTTTGCGCTTGCGGCGCTATGCTGCTCGGTGGCGCGTGCCGCGGGGAGCGCGCTCGCAAAGTAAAAATTCTGTCCCGCCCGTAAACAGACAGGCGCTGTGCGTGTATCCCTCCCACCCACGCTCCACGTGCTCCGGTAATAACAAACACGCCTCTACCCTCTGCCCAGCCCCGTACACCAATCGCACTCGAGGGGGGTTGGGGCCGAGGGATGGGCGGGCGGGACGT